TAGTATACGTAGTCGCAAAATTTCGTACAAAAAAAAATTACGTACAAATTTGAAACTGAATAATTTATAATTACCGTCACTTCCGCTCGTATGACCACACACGATACATCCGACCGGTTATTGCCTATCTATACACGAATACCTTTACCGATGCACACACACGCCTAACACATGCGTAAAAATATACATAGGTACAAACTCAAACGGATATGCACACGCATGTATGTCGTATACTTTTAGATAAAATAATGCCGACAAATTGTGTATATATTCGTACTGCTTTACCATATCCATTGGCATAACTGCATCGCATTCAGCGGGCCTCGATAAAAGATGCATAAAGTCACTTTATTAAAGTGTACAAAAGGGGTACACCCACATAAAGAAAATAAAGATATAATATATTACCTACAATATATTATTAAGGGGGACCAGGGCAAATTTGCATCAGGGGGTGAATTGACACATAACAAGTATAAGTTATACAATTTATGTGGTCCAAACTGTAGCACCATCGATGATTTAACCATATGATTACCCACTATCATAACAAACTTTACGATTTTATTTATAATTTCAGTAATTATCAATTTTGTATATTTATCTGTTAAAAGTTATTTTTATGATGCTTAAAAAAAATGTATTATATAAGAAAAAAACATTTTTTAAATGTGATTTCAACACATAAAAATAAAGATAACAGTTAGGTATGCACACTAATTAATATCATATAATAGTTGTGTTAATTAAACATCCCACTTTTTTTTCCAAAATGTCAAATATTGGAGAAAAAAAACGTTTGTGTTAAATTGACACACGCAGATAGGTGCGAATTGACACGTGTCAATTAACCCCATTGTAGGAATTTTCATTTGATAATTATAGGTTTCTGTATACATAATATATAGGTATTGATAGTATTGTTGGTGGCGTCGCGGAAGTAATGCGAAAGCAATTCCCGCGGCGTTGTCGGTTCAACACTGAAAAAAAAAAGGTATTAATAGTATAAATTAATTGTTGTTCTTTAATATTTTAACCTATCTAGTTTGTCACGGGTAAAACGACTATATTAATGAGACGAAAAATTAATACTTTATTATCAATTTAAATATCACGCATTCCTATAATGTAACAACTTTACTGTCAATTTCGAGGGAAAGTCATTTGATCGAAAATGTTGTAACTGCCACAGAGAACGACGACCTAATGCAGTCAGTGGTCCGAGAAAACCCGGAGTGACCGACGATGCTGGTATAATATTTAATATCTCGTCTTTTGTTCACCGTGCTATTATTTTAAAGCAATGTAACACATGCGAATCACATGTCGTGTGGACGCAATACTCGCAGTCACGGTATAGTTTTTGCCCGGCATTATCGCAATATATGTACATCACATAGGGGTTTTGATATCTCCAATATAATATGTTGACCCCCGTCGTCTAACGACTTTATATGGCGGGTAGTCTCCGTAGACATTTTAGCATTTCAAAGTGAGTTATGAGTCGAGAATTGTGCTTACATAACATGTTGTCTCACGTCGCGATACAAAAACTATTATTATTGCTGTTATTGGAAAATACCGCGACGAATGACGTTTTCCTGTCTTCGAGTTTTGCAAGAGTGGGTCAACACAGACTTCCTATTTATAATACTCGAAAATAATATAAATACTTACAACGACTAAACGATTTACTACTACAAGGACTATACGTGTGATCCATTAAACTAAGGCAAAACCGAGGCGGTGATGATGGTGGTCATGTGTCGCCACACATCGAACTTGATTGCATGTTTTTTTGGTTTACAGTTCAATATGATACGATAACTACTGTATAATATGTTGTTAGACATAAATTAATTTCATAATGATTGGACAATTGTTAGAAGTTATAACATGCAGATAGGCAATTTCATAAATTGATCTGAAATTTTGATCTTGAGTTCATGACCAACACATACCTAATATTGTTTTTTTCAATGCTCGAATATAGCTAACTAATAAATTATAATATTCCTACGGACTAGTATTAATAGTAGGTACGCTTATTTATTGTAATATCTATTAATTTAGATTTGAAGAGTATTGAGAATGAATTATTATAATGAAATATATTAATATTTTAAAATTTTTCATATAAAACAAACTTAATGGAATTTTTATTTAAAAAAATCACGAATCTAAGAAAAATTAATAATGCCAAAGATTTATTTTTTGTTTTCAACTACATTTTTAGAGTATTAATATTCGTTTCAGTTTTTTATGCAATAAATATAAATTATACAAATAAATCTGAAAATAATACATTGTTTATTGTTTTAAGTATTTTCTTCTTGCTCGAACAAAATTAGATAATGGTAATACAATTTCACGCAAAAAAAAAAAAAAAACAAGCTGTATTTTACTTTTAATTAAACCTCCTAAACCTAACCTAACACAATCTTACTATCCCTAAATACACAGGTCTGTGTATGAGTGTTAGCCGTTATTAACCATTTGTATTGTCGTTTTAGGTCCTCGGACGCGTCGAACGAAGAAAAAGGACAAACAGCAGCAGGACGAGAAGAGGCCTAGGACCGCGTTTAGTGGCGACCAGCTGGCTAGACTCAAGAAGGAGTTCACCGAAAATCGGTACCTGACCGAGAGACGGAGACAAGAGCTGGCCAACGAGCTGGGCCTGAACGAGGCCCAGATAAAAATATGGTTCCAGAACAAGCGGGCCAAGATCAAGAAGGCCAGTGGCACTAAGAACCCGCTCGCCCTGCAGCTGATGGCCCAGGGCCTGTACAATCACAGCACGGTCATGGTTACTAAGGAGGAAGAGGAACAGCTGGCCGCGGCACAAGTAAGTGCATTATCATTATCATTATCAATATATAAATTGCAATTCTACAAAGGCCCCCGTTAACACGCAAAATCGCATTTCAAATAATGCATTTGTTTGACTATTTTTGTCAGCTATTCTTGAGCGATGTAGGTTGTTCAACAACGGTAGAACTAAACAAAACTTAAAACTTTATACTGTCAACATCAAAAAAATATTACTTCTGGCTAGTCGATGTAAAAGCTCGAAAAATGTTTAAATATTTTATCCATATCATAGAATATGCAACATCCGTGTACTGCGGGGTAATATCGAAAACATACATTCCCAAACGGTGATATACGATTGCGTACGTTTGTACTATTGCGTACGATTTCTCTACCTATACCTTAAAATATTACGATTGCGTATGAAAATGAGAGCAACTTTGCCAACATGTACTTACTACTTAATATAATATAATTTAAAAACCATTATTATAGTCAATAAATACAACAAATATAAGTTATAAATTAAAAACGTTGGTTCTTATCAATAAGCAGTCCCTGATAAAAAATTTAAATAATAATAATATAATTTAAAAAAACTAAAAACATTAAGTCAAATAAATACAAATCATAAGTTATAAATTAAAACCTTGGTATTGAT